CGCGCTTGTAAATTTGTTTCCGCGCTTGTAAATTTGTTTGGGCACTTGTAAGTGTGTTCGTTTTTGCTTGGCTTTGTTAATTTGTCTTGACTTTTGTAATTTTGTTTTCTGAAAAGTTAATTTGATTTGCCCTTATCGGCCACCGTAATAGCCGGTCCTGACAAGACGTCATTTCGCTGTGATGCAAAATATGTCACTGGTGACACATTGGATCTTGCCACTAGAGGGCTCTCAAAATGCAACTTTTATTGAGCATTTGTTATATTGATATTGATGAATAATATATTGTGATGGTTATCGTTATCGTTTCATCACCCAGCCCTACTTGACACCATATTCATGAATGCTTTACACTGCATTCTGTTGTCTATTACCTGAAATAGAAATTAGTTTTATAGACCAAGGAGTCAGGAAGAAGAAGAAAAACAAAGGACAACTGATGAACTGGCCAGCTTAGTCTCCAAACCTTAATCCTATAGTACTTGTGTGGGACAAACAGAACAGAAGAGTCAAAGCAAAGCAATCCACAAGAACCCTACATCTTTGGAAATTCCTACTGAAGAGCCGGAAATTCATGTTGGATGATTTCCTTCTGAAATTTGTTAAATGGCAGCTCCATGAGTCAATTTTCTCACTACTTTGGTGTTCCTTATGCTTTGTATGAAAAAAGCATGATTTCTGTCAAATGCACAGTTCTTTTGATTGGTGCTGTAACTGCACAGCTTACAGATGTTGGGACATCAGGAGACTTACTTTTATCAGGCAGGAATTCGTCACCACCTGTTTGGGGTCCACGACATCTACTAAAGGCTCCTTTATGGCTATGTTACGGATGCAGCTCATGTCAAAGCCATACACATTCTCCCACCCTGTGGAGAGACACACAAAGACATGCAAATGTGATTTACTTACAGATTTAATGAATCTCGACTCTATCACAACAATGGTAAAAATGGTAAAAATCGTCTGAAGAAGCAGTCCCTGCAGAGCCAGAACTTTTGGGACATTATGACAGACATACACCTTAACCTGTAGGCATTAGGCAGAGCTGACACATTAGGCACATTCTGACATTAGCACTCCCAGATGTTAGCACATCCTTACATTAGCACTCCCTGACGTTAGTACATCCTGACATTAAGACACCCAGACGTTAGCACATCCTGACATTAGCACTCCCAAACATTAGCACATCCTGACATTTGGACATCCTTACATTAGCACTTGCTGATGTTAACACGACCTGACATTAGCACTCCCAGATGTTAGCACATCCTTACATTAGCACTCCCTGATGTTAGCACATCCTGATGCTAGCACTGACAGAATTTAGCACATCCTGACTCTAGCACTCCCAGATGTTAGCACATCCTTACATTAGCACAACCTGACATTAGCACTCCTAGACATTAGCAAATCCTGACATTAGCACTCCTCGACATTAGCACATCCTGACATTAGCACTCCCCGATGTTAGCACATCCTGAGATTGGCACTCCCAGACATTAGCACATCCTTACATTAGCACTTCCAGACGTTGGCACATCCTGACGTCAGCACTCCCAGACATTAGTACTTCCGGACATTAGCACTTACTTACGTTAACACATCCTGACATTGGCACTCCCAGACAGTTGCACATCTTTACATTAGCACTTGCTGACGTTAACACGTCCTGACATTAGCACTCCCAGACATTAGCACATCCTGACATTAGCACTACCTGATGTTAGCATATCCTGAGATTGGCACTCTCAGACATTAGCACATCCTTACAATAGCACTTGCTGATGTTAGCACATCCGGACATTAGCAGTCCCTGATGTTGGCACACCCGTACATTAGCACTTGCTGACGTCAAAACATCCTGACATTAGCACTCCCAGACGTTAGCACATCCTGACATTAGTACTTCCGGACATTAGCACTTACTGACGTTAACACACCCTGACATTGGCACCTCCAGACATTTGCACATCTTTACATTAGCACTTGCTGACGTTAACACGTCCTGACATTAGCACTCCCAGATGTTAGGACATCCTGGCATTAGCACTCCCAGACATTAGTACATCCGGACATTAGTACTTGCTGATGTTAACACATTCTCACATTAGCACTTCCAGACGTTGGCACATCCTGACATTAGCACTCCCAGACGTTAGTACATCCTGACATTAGCACACCCAGACGTTAGCAAATTCTGACATTAGCACTCCCAGATGTTAGCACATCCTTACATTAGCAATCCCTGATGTTAGCACATCCTGATGCTAGCACTGCCAGAATTTAGCACATCCTGAATCTAGCACTTCCAGATGTTAGCACATCCTTACATTAGCACAGCCTGACATTAGCACTCCTAGACATTAGCACATCCTGACATTAGCACTCCCAAATGTTAGCACATCCTGACATGGGCACTCTCAGATATTAGCACATCCTTACAATAGCACTCCCTGACGTTAGCACATACTGACATTAACACTCCCTGATGTTGGTTACCTGTACATTAGCACTTGCTGACGTTAACACGTCCTGACATTAGCACTCCCAGACATTAGTGCATCCGGACATTAGCACTTAATGACGTTAACACATTCTGACATTAGCACTCCAAAACATTAGCACATGGCGACACCCCTCGGTGGGTAGCATGGTTATGTGTGCATGTGTTTAGTCAGCAGGCAGCATCGTGTCAAGCACCACACTCATCTGGGGATGTATCTCTCCTTGACCCCATCTGGATTCATATATTTGCAGGCTATTCATCACACAGCACAAACAAATGTGGTTTAGGTGAGTCCAGTGTCATAGCAGAGAAAAAAGGTTCTCAGTTGACATAGTTATGCTTTTTATATGCCGGGTCCTAGGGGAGGCTCTGCTGCTGTACCCTTGAGCTAGGTGCTTAACCTGAATTGCTCCACTGAAATATCCAGCTATATAAATGGATAAGATTGTAAGTCCCTCAGGATAATACTGCAAGCTAAGCAAATGAATGTAATTGTAAGTATGTATTCCAGGCTCCAGTTCGGGCATCATGTGGAGTTTAATAAGCTTGCATATAAAGCTGGTGTAGGGGATTTACCACCTGCCTCTGCAGTCTGTCAAACTACCATATGAGGCAAAATAGGCACTGGTTCACTGCAGAGATTCAGTCTGTAGGCCATCCTGCCCCTAGATCACACTGGGGTCAGGTGCCAGAGAACCGGCCTTCAGAGGTATTACATTGTGGGAATTATGAACCCCTCAGTAAATACACTCTGACAGGGTTGCCATGGAAATGATTGTCCTACAGTAATTTTGATTAACTGGCTACCTTTAGTCACTTACACCTGTCACAGAACGTATACATCTGTGTTCCTGTTTCTTGTGCGTGAAAGGCCCATCTGTCCTGTCCAGGGATGGGAGCAGAAAACCAGTTAGAACTGGTTGCACTTACAGTGGATCTTGAAGTCCTTGTACTGTCGGTCCTCAATGGCCACCACATAGAGAGAAGCACGGTCTGGAAATATAAGCCCGCCTGGTTTCTGCCAGGGGTAAATCAGACAGAGGCACTGTAATTTAGACCACACAGATGGATGATATCACTTCCTGGACCTGAAAGAACCAACTGAAATCCTGCAGACCCCACACATTACCCGAACCTGCCTTTTTTTTAACACTTAGCCAATGTACGCATGCATATGCAGTTAATCACAACCCAGTAACACAGAAAAATTCATATATTTACTCATAAACACTCCTACATGACAATCTAAATGATGATGCAATAGTTTCTCAACTGCTCTTTGAGACACACATACCATCACCCACTATTTCACAAACTGATCAACAGACAGATATGTAGACATCCTTGCAGCTCAACTTGCACTCTCTAGGACAGCTTCAGACCACTCTATAGAGCATCTGCACAACGCTGCCCCCTACCAGCCATTTGTCCCTGGCGAAGATGACAGTGTTGAGCATGGACTCATAAAAGAGGCAGTATCCCATCCACTCAGAGATGATGATGTCCACCTTCTCCACGGGTAACTCCACCTCCTCCACCTTGCCCTTGAAGATGGTGATGACTGCAGAACATACAGAGGGGACAACTGTGGAGGAGCCATCGTTCAGAGCTACAGAAGAACATCCCCAAGGGTTTGGCATGATGTTCTCCCACTTGTTAAAACTGTGAACATGTTGCAGAACTACTGTGTTGACATAATTCCATCAACTGTACACCCTTTTGTTAATCGCATCAGGGTATGAGAGTCCTCATCTCAGCTAATAGCGACTCTTCACATGGCTTTGATTCAATGTCTGTAAAAGGTCCTTTGGTTTCTCTGCTGTGAGTGAGGGCCCCACATCCAAAAAGCCAATATTCAGTCAATAAGTCCTTTTCATAGCATTATTATTAAGCTTACATGAACGGCTACCATGTCACTGAAGAATGGCTGAGATTTATTTGTACCCTGGACCTAACTGCCTTAGCAAAGCACATCATGGCAGTCACCTCGGTGCTATGTATGCGTTTTGGGTTTGTCTACTCCATCTTACTGATGTGAGTATTGAAAACAGCTGGATTGAATCTGATACATTTACCAACCCTCTCAGGTGTTTGGAGGGTGGAGGCTCATGAACAAGGACATATGAAACCCGATACATTTTAAACAGGGCAAAAGAGTTCAGTGGAATCAATGACTGTATGTAACATACAGCACAAAATGTGCTTTGGAGGACTTTAAAGGTTGAGGTTAATTGAGTTCGCCCAGAAATTTGTACAGGTAACACCTGCATCAGGTGGGTTTGCAGATTGCCTGTAGCATTAAAATGTGACATGCTATTGTCACACCAGCTAGTTCCTCCTTGTAGCTGTACCACTCCTGGTTTACATGCCTGAATTTCATTCTACTGCACATGGTCAAGGGAGAACGGCATCCAACGGCGGGAAAAAATCTTTGGAGTAAAGATAATTAATAATTATAATTAAAAGGAAGATCCATTCAGTAAGACTTGGAGATGTTTGCACCAAAGCATTTTAATGCAATGAATATTAATGGTTCACTATCTGCTGGGTAACGGACTCAGCTTACTTTAGCAATAATAATCCTGAACCAGCTTAATTTAGCAGAAATCCTATTTAAATGTAAAAAAAATCTTTTTAGAACTGCATCAAAGGTTTCAGTCAGTCCCTACTATTATCTGTGAAAATTATTCATAATGATGAAAATCTTTCAAGACAAAATAGATTTGAGGTGACATTTTTAAGCTCTAGAAGGTACTGCCACAGACAGGACAGACACGTGTGATAGCTCTTCCTGGTGGTCATCATTCAATCCCCTAAAATAAAGAACATGGTATCTCCTAAGGACCTCATCTCGATCTCTGCATTATGCTGCCTGCTATGGAGAAGTCTGGAGAATGCAGACCAACCGGGGAGGGGGGATGTCTACCTCTTTCTAGTGCTGTCTACTGTCAGCAACTCACCTACAGGGCAGTGGAATAGAGACAAGGAGCATTCTCCTCGAAGCATGTTTCAGGAAATTTGAGTGAAGCGAATCAGGTGGTGTGCAGCACAGGTGGATGTGCTAGTCTTTACCCATCTGTTTGCATATTCGGTGCTGGAGGAAGAATGACTGTGGGATTAATTGGCCATCCCAGAGAAAATGAAGCCAGACTTGGCAGAAAATGAGTGTGCAGAAGACTGAAGATTGCAGATTAGCATTAATTTAGCAGGACACACCCCTGGCATACAAAGCTGTATGCTAGGCACACCACTGGCAGCAGACCAAGCAAGAAGCTATCAACATCCTACAGAATCATCAGGAATAACCAATCATAGGATCAGTCAAATAAACGAAGACATTCAGCTGCTGATTCTATGTAACAGCCACTAGAAATACCACGAAGCATGGCAACAGTGTAAAAGTGAGGGTCAAACAACTAAGGACCGGATGTGAAAAGTGTCACCTGTGTGGGTTTACTAAGAATATCCCAGAAGTCCTTAAGGTCCTCCATCAATGCTGTTACTGTTCAGCCTGGATATGACCAAGCAGTAGAAAGTATCTGACAATGCATATGTATAGTCAGAAGCAAATGTCCGAAAGCAGTCTCTATTCAACTCATTCCCCTAGAAACAAGACATAAATAACCTTGCAACCTACATTTTACTAAAGACCAAAACTGGCAGACGAGTGGCCAATTTAATATCGCTGATCCAACCGCTCACCACAGAGAAACCACTATTTGTTCACTGACAAGTGACAAGGCAGGTGAACTAAACTATGTAATGATCAGAGAGATGTTCACCTTTTATATATTTTTATTTTATTTAACCTTTATTTAACCATGTTTGTCCCATTGAGATCACAGATCTCTTTTTCAAGGGGTATGAGAGTCCTGCACAACGGTAGGCCAAGGTAGCAGCAACACAGTGTTAGTGCAGAGTCTTACATAATATTACAAAAACATAATCAGAATATACATTTACATACAGTCTCCAGAGTCTTTAGAAGAGTTTTAAATTCCTTCAGGAGTATTAAGTTGTGCAGACGGAGTTCAGCTTGAAGTCTGTTCCATGTGTAAGGTGCTGAAAACCTGAAGGCTTTCTTTCCCAGTTCAGTTCTTACTTTAGGAACAACCAGATTTAGAAAGTCCATTGAGCGAAGATTATGATGTCCTTGCTTCCAGGTCAGGAGAAGTAGGAAGGAAATTTACCCAGAATGGCTTTATAAATGAACATATGCCAGTGAGTGAGACGACGAGCTTGT